ATAATGAATATAGTAAAATACAGTTGTAATAATATAAAATGTGTCTCCATAGGAAAGTGTTTATTAATGTATAGTTTGTCAACAATTATATGTCCTTTTAAATCTGCATACATTATACTGTGTTATGAACATTTATTCAGGTTTATGTAGCGCTTATAAATGCTAAATAATGCTAACCCCCAATGGTCTCTACGGTTTAATGTAATAAAACTTTATTAGTATCTAATGATTTTAGTAGAGGAAGTTGTCAGTTCAGCAGGATGAGCTGCCTCTGTACCAAATGGCCGTGGGGGAAACCGTACAGGATCGTATCTCATCACATTTGCTGCTGCAGTACATCTGTGCCTGTTTGTTGTCCTGTTCTCTCACCCAGAGGGGGTTTCTGTTGTTTCACCAGTCCAGCCCAGACGTTCTCCCTGCCCTCTGCCGCAGATCCCATGGCGTTCAGCTAGAGATCCCCTGCCCCGTCCTGCAACATAACTGTTAACCACAAAGTTGGAACAAACCAAGGTCTTCCTCGGAGTAAATATGCATGTACTCCTCCATGGTGCTGTGCGCCGCTTTAGGGCTTCCACTTGGAGTTAAAAGGATACAAGTTATTTAGGGGTTAAGCTTAAGCCTCCACCTCCAGCCCACCCCAACAGATAACTCACTTTTATATTTCTCCTCTAGCTAGGAAGCATCATTATACTTCATTGAAATGAATAAGAACATTGTTTGAATAGAGAAATGACCTTAATTTTAACCGACAGATGATCAATCTTTTCATCTAACTCTCTGCAAAAGCATGTACGCATGTTTCTTTTCAGCTTGAGTTTTTAACTAATTAAGCCGCTTAGTTCTTTCTTGACCAGGTTCTTAAAATGTTGGAACTTTTTCTTGAGGAGTCTCATGATGTGTGTATTTTATTTATTTTTTTCTACCCAATACCAATTAGTTTGAGGTGTCCTAATAGCAGGGGATCTGAGTATGACAAATACGAGATTGCAGTATTATTTTCAATGCAAACACTGGGTGGTTTTTTTTCTTAGTGTTAGCATGTGCTTGAAACAGATTTGTAGCAGTTGCTTAGCAACATTAGGAACTATCATCAGCGTTGTGCACATGCATTCACTCCCAGTATCCCACAACCCTTCTGCTTTATGGCAAGTCCTGTCCGCTACTACTGTGTTTTTCACCTATAGAAAACCAACTTTATGCAACTTTACCTCTCCTTTCTTTGCAGTCCAATTTAATTGCGGAACACACACACACAGCTGAGCAGAAGGTGACAGTCTTGGGTGAGCTCCCATGTGTCCCAGTATTGAGTTAGCATTCATTATTCACATGTCATTAGCCTCCCAATCAGTCACCATCCATAATGTAAAGGAGTGCAGCTCGGGGTTAGAGAGATGTCACAGGAGTGGAAAAGGAGAGACAGACGTAAAGTTTTCATCTGGTAGTTGACAGAAAATTAACTGACTGTTGTTTTTTCATCCCAGTGTATTTCTTGTGTCTTGAGTATTTATTTTTTGAGTAGTCTTTTCAATTTTAAGAAAAGAAAGGAAATGTTGTAAATAATAGGAGGGTTTTGGTTAACATAATGACATGTTTGCCCCCAGCTGCTCTCTAAATTTTGACTCAAGTGTGAACTGCACAGAATGATTTTTCAAAATATCAACCAATGTTTCGGAAAATAGGCTTTATGCATGTTGCTGAGTCATATAGACTTATTCCTATGTGGCACTGTAATGTCCTAGTACAGGAGCAGAGTGTTGCTGTCTCCATTAGTTGCTCTCAGTGCTTATCTTACATAAGACATAATAAATCAGTGTGAGGCCGTGTCATGTCAGGCTACTATGAAGTCATGTTTGTAATGGAAGCTCAGGTCACCCAGATTTGATTAATGCATGTCTAGTAATTATCTTTTTTATCACACCAGCATGTGGCCGTGCATAATACCACACGCTTCATTCACAATTACAGACAGATTCAGCGCTGGGTAGTAAGCTGCAGGAACAGCTGACCAGCATTTGGCTGGCAGGTTATTGTAAGCGGCTGTGGATAAGAGCATCAGCTCATTCACTGCCTTGAAATAAATAGGAAAGTCTCACTGCAGCAAGTCTGCAAGTAAAACTAGAGATTTATTATCAGTATTTTTGGCAACTGAAATCGCCAAACAAATCTCAAAATCAAGACCGTTTAAAGTGAAAAGACCTCCGCCTTGCTCTTACTTTTTTTATTCACGTATGCTATAATATGTAATATTAATAATTATGGAGGTCACAAGAATGTATGGATGTAGCCAAAAGGGTGAGAACAAAATGGGTTAGCTTCCTGTCCTCTCGTTTTGCGCCGCAGTAAACAAACAGTCTTTTTTTTTTGGCAGTACCCGCTGTTCTGAGGCCTGAGCTAACCTATGGTAATCTTGTCCCAAAAACATGTCATAAGCCCCTGTATCCCCTCCTCCTGAGCTCCCAAAATGACCCTCAATCCTTTACTCTAACTCTGAGCTCCTAAAGCTCCTCATCTAACCTCCATCCGATAAAACCTGAAGAGACCGAACCCTTTTATAGCCTGTTATAGAGTTCAGGGTTATTAGAACCATCAGTTGCCCTCAAAAATGTTTTTTTTTTGTTGACTTTGGTCCAGATTGAAACAA